GTAGTAAGGCTTTTTTTTTTTTTTTTTCAAGACAGGGTCTCTTTATGTTGCCCAGTCAGGTCTCAAACTCCTGTCTCAAATGACCTTCCTCCCCCAGTCTCCAGAGTAGCTGGGATTAGAGCTGTCTAGCATACCTGGTCAGATTTATTAATGTTCTTCTAGAAATCCTGTGTCTATTGTCTATTCTCACAAAGATTATTAGTCTGCAAGTTAGGTATTTTAAAAATTCCTTTGTTATATTTTGGTATCAGTCATATTGGCACAATAATAGCATCCTCTTGGGTTTGTTTTTTTTTTTTCTTTTTTGAGACAGGGTCTCCTTGTAGCCCCAGCTGGCATGGAACTCTCTATGTAGATCAGGCTGGCATTGATCTCACAGAGATTCCCCGGCCTCTGCCTCCTGAGTGGCGGTAAAGGTGTGCACCACCACTCCCAGCTTCTCTCATATTTTTGAGGGAGTGTGTGTACGACTGCTGTCATTACTCCTCAAGGGCTTGAAATAATTTACCACTGAAATCAAGGCATCTGGAACTTGCTTTGTAGAAAGTCTTTTGATAACTAACCCAATATTCTGAATGGATACAATGTTCTTCAAACTTTCAGTTTCAGGGCTGGAGAGACAACTTGGCAGTTAAGAGCACTGGCTGCTCTTCCAGATGACCTGGGTTCAATTCCCAGGACCCATACAGTGGCTAAAAACTGTCCTTCACTCCAGACCCAGAAGATCCTATGCCTTTTTTCTGGCCTCCATGGACACTGCATGACACAGCTGCATTTACATACATCCAGACAAAACACTCAAACATATAAATAAAAATAAATAATCTTTAAAAAAATTCTATTTCAGCTTTGTTCAGTTTGGGTAAACATTTCTCTTAACAAAGCATTCAGTCAATTTATCTAAGTTTTCAAAAAACTGAATAAATTTATTAAGAATATTCCCTCAACGTCCCCCAGAATCCATTCTGTGACGATGGGATCTGCAGTCAAGCTGTCCTCTCCATCTGATGCTGGTACTTGGAGCTCACTTTTCTCTAAGGAATCCGTTTAAGCTTTTGTTAATTTTCTTTTTTGTCTTTTATTTAGTCACCTTATGCCATTTTGTATTTCCTCATTTTTACTTTTGGTTACTCTGTGTTTTCGAGTTTTGTTTTGTTTTGTTTGAGACAGGGTTTCACTATGTAGCCCTAGCTGGCCTGGAACTCTTTATGTAGACCAGGCTGGCCTCAAACTGAGAGATCTGCCTGCCTTTGCCTCCCAAGTGCTAGGATTAACGGCATGTGCCACCACGCCTCATCTTTTTCTAATTCCCTAAAATGGATGTTAGATCAGTGATTTGAGTCCACAGATTCCTCCCTTCCTCCTCCCTTTTATATGTGATTTCTTCTTATTTTGAGACAAGGTCATTCTACATATAGCCCAGGCTGGCCTTCAAGTCATAAGCCTTTTGCTCAGCATCCAGGGCTTGAGGATTACAGGCAGAGGCCACCACGCCTAGCTTAGTTCTCAGGGTTCTAATAGAAGCATTTAAAATGATAAATTTCCCTCAAAGCACGTTAGTTGTATACCATATATTTTGTTATTTTTATTTTAGCTGTTTTATTTTAGCTGTTTTCAAAATATTTCCTAATTTCCCCTATGACTTCCTCCGTTCCAACCTCATCAAAGACTATAACTACACCATTTCAATCCTTTTGAATCTAATGAGACTTGCTTCATACTCCAGCATATGGTCTCCTAGGACAACTGTCATTTGTTTAAACCTCTATAACACAAAAATACACCCATCCATAATAATATAGAATGACAGCCAAAAAAGGAAGGCCAGGACCCATTTATTTAAAAACTTTTTTTAAAGTTTTTGGAGACAGGGTTTCATAGTCTAAAAGTATGTAGCCTAGGCTGGTCTTGAACTCACACTACTCCTGCTTTAGTCTCGTAAGTGCTGGGATTAGGCATAGGCCGAGATACACAGCTTTTATAGAGTCTTACTGTGTAAGGCATTTTTTTTTCCAATTTCCAAATAGAACATAATATACCTGGCAAGTATATTCCTTCATTAAATACTAGAGAAAACTTATAAATTGTGGCTTTCATTTACAAATAAGATGTGAATGATTTAACAGTTTTCCCTTAAAACAGAGTAATAGTTTCCTTAAAAGAAAAATTAGATTTATGGTTCAATAGGCTTGGATGTGGGTAGCGAGACAGCTCAGGGGGTAAAGGCACTTGCTGTGCAGGTATGCCAACCTGAGTTCAATCCCCAGAACCCAAGTAAAGATGGAAGGAGAGAACTGACTCCAGAGTTGGCCTTTGGCCTCTACATGTACTGTGACACTGGTACACACACACATCATGTACACACAGACATACACACAGTAACTTAAAGGGTTTAGTGAGAAACCAAGTTTTAATAAACCTTAAATGAAAAACAAAAAGCCCACTGTGAATAGAAATGAGACATCTTTCTTGTCCTATTGTTTTTAAGAGAGAAGCAGCACAAAGAAAGCACACGTAAACTGCTGAACTCTGTAATGGAGATGTGTTTAGGTTGGTGAGTTTTTGTGGCAGCTGCAGTCCTCACTCAGGCAAAGCCATCTTCTCTGCCCAATGAAAAGCCTCAGGCACTTTGCACACTTCTAGCAGGTTAAGCCAGTTCCATCAGTCACAGAACTGTATGCCTCAGGTACACCAAGGCCCAAACATGAACTCTTATTTGAATCTAACATGGCAGTGTTCTTGAAATCTCATTAACACTTTGGTCTCTCTCACCCCACCAAACAAGAATACTATTATTATCAGTTGAAATAATAAACACATTTTCAATAGATTCAATCTTACACTTAGTTTGTAAAATGTGACTACTGAATACTTTTTCAATAGAAAACATTCTTATATTACTATTCATGCTGAGCCAAGCTGAAAGTGGTTATATAAGGCATTTCACTTTTTCTGTGCATGGTTACACATTACACATGTGGAAAGAATTAGTCAACTTTTTAAAAAATCAGTTACCGTGCTCTTCCTGTCAGTAAGCTTCTTCTTGGGTTTCCCCTGTGGAAGTAGAAAGCACAAGGTTAGGGAGCACTACCCGCTGACTCTGCCATTCACACACAAGTGCATTCTTAGAACCTTTACTATGAAGATCCAACAGGAAATGAGGGCAGAAATGGCAGCTTTGGGGAAAAGCACAACAGAAAACATCCTCAGAGAAAAGCTGAATATTGTTGGGTGGAAAGGGGGTTAGCTAAAAATACTGAAGGGTAGAGAACTAGAGAAAAATGACAGCGATGACCTAACATCTGTCCATCTATTTACAAGGCAAATCACACTTAATCCTCATCACAATCACGTGACAAAGGCTACTGATATCTGTCTTTACATGTGTATATATGTACAAACACACACACACACACACACACACACACACACAATGAGCGGGAGAAGATACCTCTGTATCCCGCCCATGATGAGAGCTGGGATGTTTATGCTGAAGCCCAGGGCTTACATCTGACTACAGAGCTCTTTCTACCCTCAATGAACTATGAACTATTTATGATAGGAAACGAAGTTCTGTTCTCAGGGTATTCCAAAAAAGACTATTCATCAGAAATAGACTTTCTATACCTAAGATTAAAGAAAAAACAAAAAACTCCATAGAGATGGTCTTCACTGTCTTTAAAGCTGGTTCTAACTACAGAAGCTAAGGGCCATTCATGTTTATCTTTTTTTTTTTTTTTTTTTTTTTTTGGTCTTTTTGAAAAGGGGTCCCCCTTTAGCCCCAGCTCTCCTGGACTCACCTACGTAAACCAGGCTGGCCTTGAACTCACAGAGATTCGCCTGTCTCTACCTCCGGAGTGCTGGGATTAAAGGCGTGCGTCACCACACTTGGCCCAAGTTTATTTTTTTCCTCATTCAGTGTCTACACTTAACACTAGAGGTTGGGGGAGAGGTCTATGATTCTACTTGTTTTTCCTTTGTGTATGTGTGTATTTAGTATAGAATGATTTTATCACTTTGTGGGTTCATGTATCCACCACCACAGGCAAGACTCTGGACAACTCTACTGCTCCCCATAAGGGTCACCAGTGCTCACCTTTCACAACTACATATACTTATCTAATAACCCTATTCCATTAATCTTTTCATCTGACAATTTTGTCACTTCAAAAATGTCATACTTAAGACAAAATGTCATACTTAACAGAATCACACAGCATGTGTATGTCTGGTATTTTTTAAGAGACAAGTACAATACAGATAATATTTATAAAAGATAAAGTAAAAGAATTAAGTCCTCACCAAGATGTTTTGTTTTACTTTCCCATATCTTCCTATTCTTGCTAGTGTTCTGATACTGTGGCATTATCATCAGAAAATTCAGGATGATTTAATTTTTAGCTCAAAGGTTGTCTCCAGGAATCTGTAATCATGGCCTCACATTACAATCACATGGGTAGCTTCTAATAAGCACCTCTAGTTCCCTCTGGGAATGGAGCTGAGGCATAAATGCCACTTACAAAATCCCCTTGGTTATTAATCTGCAGCCAGTGTTCAAACTACTGCCATACAGTAGGACACTAGGTAAGATACTGTTTGACACAGCTAGAGGAGTGGGCAGGAGAAGCTGGGGAGGGGAGGGGAGGTAGACAAACATAACCTATGACAAGTGAACAGAGACAGTTTGAAAATGACAATACTGACAATAATGGTTGGATGTGTGAGGGAAACACCAATTTAGATTGAGGAGAATAATTTCCTGGAAGATGTTAGGAGTCCAAACAAACACAATTTCATTTTTTTCAAAGTGGTAGTAGGTTCTGAACATTGACAAAGATGAATACAACAAAGCACTCACTGGGAAGAGCCAACGTGCACAGTACAAGTCAGCAAACAGGACAGTTAATACGGTCCATGACTCTGATTAAAGGGCGAAGGAAGGGCTGGGAATGCCGCCTCCAGAGGATGAAGGGAGTAGTTAGAGCAATTTAAAGGCAGGTGGAAGCTACAACAAGGAGAGTGGCATGTGTTAAGGCTAAGGAGGTATGAAAGAGCAAGTTAATGTGGCCTGACTGGACATGGCTGGTGTGGAAATGGAGAGATGAGGCTTAAAAAGTTAAAGTAGATCATGAAGGCATTTCTTTGCTAAAAGGACTATTTTTGCTTTATTTTCATTATATGTGTATGAGCATTTTGCCTACATACTAAGTGCACCTGTGCATGCAATGCCTGTGGAGGCCAGAAAAGGGCATTGGATCCCCTGGAACTGGAGTAACAGATGGTTAGCCATCACATGGGTACTGGAACTGAACCAGATCCTCTGCAAGAACAGAAAGTGTTCTCAACCACTGAGCCATCTCTCTAGCCCCAAATTTTATGCTTTCTTTTTTTCTGTTTAGTTGCTCTGAGACAGGGTTTCCCTGTAGTCACAGCTGGCCTGGAACTTGCTAGATAGACCAGGCTGGCCTTGATTGCCTTTAATCCCAGCACTTGGGAGGAGAGACAGGCAAGATTGAGGCTAACCTGGTTTGAGTGAGTTCCAGATCAGCCGGAGCTACAGGGAGATCCTGTCTCAAAAAAAAAAAAAAAAAAAAAAAAAAAAAAAAAAACTTTTTTTTTTGAATACCATTTTCTTCATATACCACAACTATCTTAACATCCTGTCAATACTTATCATTAACTGGTAGTTACTCAGCCTGCTGTTTGGTCTCATTATGGGATGTTTCTCCATTTTTTTTTTTCTTTTCAGAGACAAAGTCTCACTATGAAGTACAGGCCTGCAAATCCTGATCCTCCTGTCTCAGCCTCCCAAGTGACAGATTACAGGTGTATAACACCATACTCATCCATAGATCTTCGTACACATCACATTGTTTCATTATTACAGAACTCCTAGGAATGCTTTCTAACTTTAGCTAGTATGGTAGTTATCAGATGGCTGTATCTTCCTTCCCCCTCATGGAAAACCCAAGTACAGAAAGATCCAGCTTTACAAAGCATGGAGTCATGTCAGTTCTGAAACAGACCTATACAACTTGAGGAGACCCATGTAAACACCCATTTTAAGCAACTAGTGCATTCCTTCTAAATATGACTGAGCAATCAAAGCTCACAAAATAAATGCAGATATGTGACAGTAAAAAATAGAAAAAGATTGACCAAACAAATATGGAAGAATGACAGAAAGCAAAAAGATCAAAAGGATCTTTAACAAACTAAAACAAAAAGGTCTGCATCTGAAAAGACATGCCCATAAACTGTGAAGGCTAGTCAGAAGAAAAATAGTTCCTGGACATTAAAGTCGGACTTCTCAAAAATCAGAAAGCAAACCTAATAACTCTTGCCTGAGATGGAAGTAAAAGGAGACAAGGCTGAAGACTATGTCAGAGCTTTAGAAGACAGAGCTTAAGAAATCTCTAAGAAGCAGGACATTAGTTATGTCTATAAATTTCAGCACTTGGAAAGCTGAGGCAGGATTGGCATGAGTCCCAGCCCAACCTGGGCTACAATGGGAGATCTTGTCTTCAAGAAACCAAAGAAAAAGAAATCTCCAAAAACGTAAAGATAAGAAAAAAGGTGAAGAGAATAAAAAAGGAAATACGGGGAAAATAGGCAAAATGCTACCAAAGGTCACATTCTCTCCAGTGGAGAGAAAACGGAGAGTTCCACTGAAAGATGGACATCATTGGACTGAAAGGACGCACTGCAAAGCCAAAACAGTGACAACTGACAAAGCAGGACACATCCTGATAATGTACCTGAACTGCTCAGATAAAGAAACCTTGGCAAAGTTTTCAGAGAGGGAGAAAGGTCGCATACTCCAGTTTGTGGAGATCTGAGACTGTCTTTTGAGCACATCCAAGGATCATCCAAAGCTATGAATGTGGTTATTCAGCACTATTTACCACAAGCACACAGATGAAAGTTTAAACCCCCTGCTTCCTAAAATATCAAGAAACTGCAAGAAATGGCTGAAATCTGGCATCTCTTTGAATAATCCCAAAGTAATATGAATTTCTTCAAATAACTGGGGGGCTTCGTTTTGATAATTAATTCCTGAGCCATTCTTCAGTGCTTATGCCACAGGGGTGATAAGAGCCCACAGGGAAAGCAGCCCCTGGTGGCTGCACTATCTGAATTCCAGGTCCTGCTCAATATCACTGCCTGGGTTTCCCTTGTATTGAGGACAACAGTTGCCATCTTTTAAAAGTGCCAATGTGTTTGGTTTGTGATTTATTTCCACTCTGTTTTTTTCCCTGATCTGATCATTCTATTTTGGTCTAGAAAAGCACATCTTTTAAAACTGTATGTCTAGAGCATGCATCGCTGGGCTTCCTGACTCTGCGCAGACGCAGTGTGACAAGCTGCCGTCATTCCTGTTGCCATAGCTTCCTCACCATGATGAGCTGAACTCTCAAACTTGGAGCCAAATAAACCCTTTCTACCTCCTTGAAAAAACAAAAGGCTTGTTGGAGCTGGAGAGATGGCTCAGCAGTTAAGAGCTCTGGCTGCTCTTACAGAAGACCCAGGTTCAATTCTCACCACCCACATGGCAGCTAACAACTGTCTATAACTCTGGTTACAGGAGATCCAACACCCTCTTCTGATCTCCATGGGCACTGCATGACACGGGTGCACTTACACACACGCAGGCAGTATACTCACACAATTTTTTTTTAAGTGTGTCTAAGACAGAAAAAAAAAAAGGCACTAAGAATCTTCTTGAAAAGAAAGAATAAAACTTAGGACATCTCTTGAGATTGCTCAAGATTTTATGATTTAATTTTTGGCTTTTATCAATGTTACAAAATGTTGAGAGTCATTTAAAAAATCCTGGAAACTGAGAAATTTTATTGTGTTTTCTAAAACGCCCTTTGTATCAAAGACTTTACATGAAGATTTGCATAAAGCCTTTGTCCTCCTTCTACAAATGTTTTCTCTTATACTTATGAGCTACTGCTAAAGATTTAAGTTAGGCAAATTCTTACCTGTCCTGGAAGAGGCGCGTTGCCAGCATATAGTTCATGGAGGTCTTGTGCTCGAGGTAGGACCTGAAGGACAAAAAAAGAAACCAATGATTTCTTAAAGTTATACTTAGACTTCATAAACTTCAAGAGGGAAATGTAGAAATAAAATCACAAATCAAGTCCATAAGTGACAGGTTACTTATACCCTCTTTATAAAGAAATGTACTCTTTCTAAAGTACCAATTGAGGAGACAGCTGCTCAAATTAGAATGTTAAGGTATCAGAGTAGCAATAAGTAGAATAAAATTAAAAGAATAAAGAAAAAAGAGAACTTAGAGTAAAAAAAGCATTTCTTAGATTAAGAAATGGTGCTAATGCTACATTCAAAATGTAATACTAAAAGATAAAAAGAAAACCAACCAAGAAATTACATATAATGAGATCAAATGAAACTGGAGTGGGAGATGAAGGAAGGGCATAAAAGCCTAATGGCTACTTCTCCTGTCCAGGTGCGGCTTCCAGGGTGTCTGTGTGTCTAGTGTGGGAAGCACATGCTTTTTCTTCCAACCTTCAGAAGCTGGATAATTTGTCACCAGTTCACTCACACTCTCTTCACACACTTGTCCAATGTTAATCCTGCAGCACAGCCAGACCAGTGTCCTTGGAGCCCTCTCACACCACACCTCCCACAGATCCTTTCCCTATGGATAGAAACCTTCTTCCCAACAAAATGGTGGTTCAAGTCCACTCAGCACATGAAACCTTCCCTGATAGGAGCACTCCAAGTTTACATAGGGTTCCCTGTCTGATCTGCCCTGCTCTTCATGGTATGCCCGAGGGACACATCACATGCTGTCTCCGAGCACATTCTTTGGGAAAAGCTGCATGATGCAATCCGTTCCTAGATATATACCCAGGGGACACATGTAGGAGGCTTACAGATAGCTGGATTTAACCTCTAAAGACCAGAAAGAAGCCAAAAGCCCACCAACAGGAAAAGGTGAAGCTAACAGCAGTTTCAACATACAATAAAAAAGTATCCAAAAAGAATGAGTTATAGTGACATGAATCTTAGTAACATAATACTTAATGAAAAGAGCAAGATTACACAGAGCATACATGTTTTTGTTGCTTGTTTTAAAAACGTTCAAAAGCAAGAGAAACGACAAATAGAATTCTGATTCTACGTAGACATGGAGGGTAAATGCTACAGGCTCTGCTCTCCCAGCACAAAAGGCCAGAAAAATGTACAAGACATCGAAGAAACTGCTTTCAGACATCAAACAAATGGTGGCGCAGGACGATTCCTATTAGAAGGAAATAAGTGGAGCAAGCCTTACAATTGCTCTGCTTTTCTTCCTACAGGCAATTCCCAGAGCATGCAGAAAAAGGGCATTCAAGTAGAGCCCAACAGTCCCTGAGGTGAAAAGACAAGATCAAAACTATAAAAAGCATCTAGAATATTTGGAGGAATGTCCTGAAGAGAAGGAGGCTATGCATAAGAGAAAAAAAAATCCAAAAATAATCATGAGGGGCCCCTCGAGTCTTGGGGTGGATACCAATCTGCTCAGCAGAGGGTAAAAGTCCCCGAGGTTAAGCAAAGAGCAACTGTCAGAATAAAGAACAATGAAGACTCAATTTAAGTCAAATAATTCCCAGAGTTCATACAGGGGTTCAAAATGAGTTCTAGCTGCCAAAACAGAGAAATCTTCTTGGAAGCGGGTTCACTTAACAGATGTCCCGAGAGTCTTTTAAGGTGGACATATCCTAGACAAAAAGATACCCTAACTAAGCCTTAACAATGCTTAAAAAAAAAAGAAAGAAAAGAAAAGCCTGAAGAAGATTATACTGATTTACAAGTAACTTAAGTGCCTAACCAAAAAACTTCAACAGGGTTTAAAGGAGGTAATAAAAATCTAAGCACTGAAGATATAACATTTATAATGTATAGCATCCAACCAAAAAGTTAATGCAAATATGAATAGGAATACTGTAACCATAAACCAAAGGAAAGACAGTTGAGAGACTCAGAAATGACAATGGGAAAGAATACAAAAAAGGAAACCACTACTAAAATTAATGTAATGCATGCACAAGGATCTAAAAAAAAGAAAAGAAAAAAACACATAAAAATGAAACAGGAATTCTATAGGTGAAAAACATTGGAAATAAATTTTCACTGGAATTATAGAGGGTAAGGCACTACAGGCAAAAAGAAAAATGACCTTAAAGACAGAAATAAATGACCAAACCATACCATAGTCAAATAACTGAAAAACAGTCATAAAAATATTGAGCAGAGCATGGTGGCACACACCTTTAACCCCAGCACTCGGGAGGCAGAGGCAGGCGGATCCCTGTGAGTTCAAGGACAGCCTGGTCTACACAGTGAGTTCTAGGACAGCTGGGGCTACAGGGAGTCCCTGTCTCAAAAAGACCAATATATAAACAAACAAACAAACAAACAAACAAATTGTGCTAGCTTACAGTTATTGATTTTAAAGGTGGC